GGCGGGGGCGCCCATAGTTCGGGCAGCGCTCAGCTTGGTCCCGGCGGAGGAGCTGCGGCTGCGGCCGCTGGGGCAGGTTCGCGCGCTCTGGCTGCAGGGGGCGGGCGTGGGCCGCGAGGGGGCGCCATCCCGACTCGTTGCCCAGGGAGGCCGCGCTGGGTGTCCACAGACGCAGTTCCCGGCGCGGGCACGCGGGGGGCGGCCGAGCTGCTGGGGCGTCTTCCCTGCGGCCCGCACTGCGCTGCGCCTCCGCTGGGCCGCCTGGGTTGAGGACTTCCCGCCAAAGGATGCGGAGCCCGCGCGGCCCGGCCGAGGGCTGCAGCCGGTGCCTGACGCCGCGGGAAGGCGCTCCCGCCACCGCCCACGGGTCCGAGCTCGGAGCGGCTGCTGCCGGCGGCGTCGGGAGCTCCTCAGTGTCAGCCTTTCGTGCTGGACTCGGCGTGTCCTCTGAAAACTCCGGATTCTGTCCCTGACAGGACGTGAGGGGGTTTTCAGACGTTGCCTTTGCTGGCCGGGCGCGGGGCGCGGGGCGCACGCTGGAATCCCAGCACTTGGGGAGGCGGGCGGAGCGTTTGAGTTCCGGAGATGGGGAAGCTGCCTTCCCGGTAACTGTGGTCTTAGGTCCAGCTGAGTAGGAGAAAGGGCTTTGCTTTGAATTGGCTGCTTTTGTGATTTCTCCCAGGCTCATCTTTTGTCAGGTAAAAATCCACTGGCAAGTGTAGCTTAGCGACGGGTAATTCTTCGGTTTTGTTGTAGCTGTACGTCGGACCTGAAAATTATTTTCTTTATGTTCCTGTGTCAGCAAATGCCAAAGGGTGTCAGATTAAACACCGAATTTAGCAAATTCATTCGTTGGCATTCTTCTCGTCATTACAATTTACAAGACTTGATAGAATCACAAGAGAAGTAAATTCACAAGTACATATAATTAAAATAAGCCAAAAAACCCTACATCCTTTATGATTACACTTTTATACAGTATACAAAATAGAAACTAAAGTAACATGAAAAAGGTCAGTATTTGAATGGGGAAAAGGTGAGAGAAAAGAAGAGGGAGGAAGGAGGGTAATTGATTTGTTTTCCATCTTAGTAATGGTGATGGTTACATCAGTGTTTTCTGAATTGTGTATTTTGTGGGTTAATTATTATGATTTTGTTTTTTATTTGACAAGATTTATTTTTACCGTCCTTCCACAACTTATTTGAACTTTCAGCTTTATCTTTCTTTATATTATACTTTAAGCTCTGGGGTACATGTGCAGATCTTACAGAATCGTTACATAGGTATACACGTGCTATGGTGGTTTGCTGCTTCCATCCCCCCTTCACCTACATTAGGTGTTTCTCCTACTGTTATCCCTCCCCAACATCCTCACCCCCTGTTATCCCTCCACTAGCCCCCCAACCCCCAACAGACCCCAGTGTGTGATGTTTCCTTCCCTGTGTCCATGTGTTCTCATTGTTCAACACCCACTTATAAGTGAGAACATTCAGTGTTTGGTTTTCTGTTCTTGTGTCTGCTTAGAAGGATGGTTTTCCCTGCAAAGGACATGAACTCATACCTTTTTTATGGCTGCATAATATTCTTTAGTACGAGGAACTGTTCTCACGTGCACAAAATGCAGATTGAAGCTTACAGAGATGAAAAGTTCTCAAGCATGTTCCCCAGGATGAGAATCCCAAGGAAGCTCAGGGGTTCCTTGGTGAGTCTTCCCCAATCAGACCCAGGATAGAAACCTCGGTGAGATCCCCTGACTCAAACAGGCTTTAGGGATTTTTTTTTTTTTGAGAAGGAGTTTCGCTCTTATTTCCCAGGCTCGAGTGCAATGGCATGATCTCGGCTCACCGCAACCTCCACCTCCAGGGTTCAAGCAATTCTCCTACCTCAGCCTCCCGAGTAGCTGGGACTACAGGCTGCGCTAGCATGCCCAGCTAAGTTTTGTATTTTTGGTAGAGACGGGGTTTCACCATGTTGACCAGGATGGTCTTGATCTCTTGACCTAGTGATCCACCCGCCTCAGTGCTGGGATAATAGGCGTGAGCCACCTTACCTGGCCAGCTCTAGGGATTCTAAGCACAGTTGATAGAGAGGCTGAGCTGGAGTCAGCATCATATAGATTCCCACAGGTTTCACATCTGACCCTTCTCCTGACACTAAAGTGTACAAGTCAGCACCAGCACTGATCTGGAGCTTCTTTTGCTCCCTGTGGAATATCTTTCTACTTACTTTTCTTCACCCTCTTTCACTTGTTTCTCCTGCTCACTGCAAAAAAGAAAGATGGGTCTCTGTGGTCTAAATTACAGGGCTCAAGCCCTTTTCTTGGAGCTCAGGGATGTCCTAGGTTGCAGCTCCTACAGCCACCTTGGGGAGGCTAATGGGCCTTTCTTCTGTCCTGTTGCTCAGGACCCTCCACTGTATTGTGTGAAGACTCATCTGGGAATGCAGCTGGCTAGGGAAAACTGAAAGGGATAAGCTTGTTTGATCAATGTGAGATACAGATGTGGAATTGACCCCCTGTGCTGTACAAACTGTCAGAGTCACTTAATTAAATAATAGTGTTAGAAACAACTTGAGAAAGTTGTCAGAATCAAAATTGGGTCACTCAAGTTAAAACCCTGCTGAATGAAGCTGGGGAAGGCCATGACAGATGTTCTCACGCTCACATTCCTGATAACAAGAACTGTCATAAATAGACTCTGGAGAACCACAACCTTGCACAAAGGTTACCACAACCTTAAAAGAATTACTTCTATGCGGAATCTGCCCAGCAACTCTCTAAGAATGGACCTATACCACCCTTATTGAGTTTTCTAGCCCAGAATAATTGTCTCAAAAAAGTGTATGTAATCTTCCTCATTTTATCTTTAATCCTTTATGTTACTTTGCCTGCCTGAGTGAACCCATGCATATTCCCATTGCAATGCCCATCTTCAAATAAATATCATTTTACTTTAGAGTCTCTTTTTGTCTTTTATTCAGATTTGACAAGGTGCAGATGGACACATCAGTTTTCTGCACCTTGTCAAATCTGAATAAAAGGGGATGACGATTTTGGGGCATGGACAGGGAAGTACGGTATCTGTAAGATTGGTCATCCATCAGTGCAGGCTGGAAGTCTCAGAGAGAGCTGAAGCTGCTGGATCACTCTAGAATTTCACCTTCTCTAGTTCTGCTCTGATGGAATTGGGCACACCCGTGTAATCAATGACAATTTACCTAACTTAGAGTCAGTTGACAGTTTTAATTCTAAATTTGCAACACTACCTAGATTAGTGTTTGCATGACTATAAAGTATACGCTAACCAAGTATATGGTAAAGCAGACTATGACCCATGGAGAGTCTTTTACATGACATCTAAAATTCTTACATTTTTTTACACTAAACTGATCATTTGACAATCAGGCTGTTATGACTTGCTAATGAATTGTAGAAGTTACATATATATTTTAGGTATTAACGGTTTTTCAGATGCATAGTGTAAACTATAGTCTCCCACTCTATGGATTTTTTCCCTTGCTTTCAAAAGGTTTATATTTTGATGTAGTTCCAGTTGCTCAGTTCTCCTTTTGTTGTCTGTGCTTTTAATGTTAAATCTAGGAAATCATTTTTAACCTTTTTGTGGGAGGGAATTTTACAATTGCAGGCTGTATATTTAACTGTTTATCCCACTTAGAGTTGACTTTTTGTGCTTATTCTCTACTAAAATTTTAATTCTTTGCATGTGAAAATCCAGTTTGTCTTAACACCCTCTTTGGGAGAGAGTATGATTTAGCCATTGCATAGAAAATGTTGAAAATCAGTTTGCCTTCATGTTGGGTCTCATGTTGAAAATAAGTTTACCATCAATATGTGGGTTTATTTCTGATCTCTCCATATGTATTTATGCCAATAGCATCCTGTTCTGATTATTTTTGTTAGTAATCTTCAAGTCTGAGAATAAAATGCTTCCAATCTCTTCTTGTCTTGTTACAGATATTAGACAAAAGTGTTGTAACATTTCACCATTGTGCTAATAGCTATGGCTTTTCATAATGACTTTTATTATGTATGATTTTCTTGTATTGCTGCTTTGTTTCAAGCTTTATCATGAAACTTTGAATTTTTTTAATGTTATGTTCTATCTGGTGCGATGTTAATAGGAACATTTTTTCCCCTTATCTTAATTTGGCCTATCAAATTTATTGTTTTAAGGGTGTTGAATCATCTGTGCAGTTCAAAAATAAATTTGAGGTGGTCGTGGTGTATAATCCTTTTAAAATCTTGTCGAATTTAGTTGACTATTATTTGTAGTGTGTGGGGGGGCATTTATATCTCCTAGGAACATTGGTTGGTAGTTTCCTTTTTTTGTAACCTTGTCTGTTACTGAAAATATGATAATTTTAACCTTATATAAAGACTGGCAGTTTGGTACCTCACCAATTTTTGGAAAAGTGAGAGAATGATTGGCATTACTTCTTTAAATGTAGAGTCATCTAACATATGACCTATCATGGAGAATACTTGGGAAACATGCATATTACACTGCTCTTAGTATCAAAGTTCTGCAGATTTCTGTTAAATTAGTTTGTTCAAAAGTATTGTTCAGGTTCACTGGCTTCTTAAGAAATTTCTTTTTGTGTGTGTGTGAGATGGAGTCTCGCAGTGTCTCTGGCTGGAATGCAGTGGTGCAATCTCAGCACACGGCAACCTCCATGTTCCAGGTTCAAGTGATTCTCCTACCTCAGCCTCCTGAGTAGCTTTCTGGGTGTTCTATACATTATTGAAAGTGAAATGTTAAATTATCCTCCTAATTTTTATTGTTTTCTGTTTTTCTCTCCATGTCTCTCAAAGTTTGCTTAACGCAGTTTTATTTCTATTTGTACAAATATGTAAAAAGGAATAATAATTGCTAAGTAATTTTAATGGCAGAATCACATAAGAATAAGTGATATTTTCCCAGATGTTGTCATTGGCACTGAGCTCTTCCAGGAGTCTCACATCTAAACTGAAGCACTGCTCTGTCCTCTGCTGTCCCAACCAGAGCTTGCAATAGAGGAGGAGACATGCAAACAGGGTCCTCCCTCTGCTGATGAAAACCAGCCCAGCCCTCATCCTGCCTCTGTAGAAGAGCCCAGTTCAGAACTACCAGGAGTTTCCATTTAGCGTTCAGAGAGCTGAACGCTGAGGATTCACTTTAAAAGGTGATTCGTGGAGAACTAGAGTTACTGAGTGTGGGTGGATATGAGTGAGAGAAACAGTGGATGTGTGTGGCAGTTTCTGACCAGGATGTCTCTGTATTTGCAGGTGTCCAATGTGAGGTGCATCTGGAGGAGCCTGGGGAAGGCTTGGTAAAGCCCAGGGGGTCCCAGAGACTCTGCTATGCAGCCTCTAGATTCACTTTTAGTAGCTACTGCATGAGGTGGGTCCGTCAGGCTTCAGGGAAGGGCTGGAGTGGGTCTCAGCAGTAGTTGGGGTAGCACAAGCTATCCTAAGTCTGAAGGGTTGATTCAGAGACAAAGTCATGAAATCACTGTATCTGCAAAATGAACAGCCTGAGAGCCGACGACAGGGCCCTGTATTACTCTGGTAGTACCGTGTGCATCCCTGGCTGTAGGGACATGCAGAGCTGATGCTTTGGTATGTTCAGAGTCACCTGTTTTGGGGATACCAATTTTGGAATTTGCAGTATCCTCGAGTCCAGTGTGTTCATAGTGGCACTGGATCTGTGTGTGCAGTGGTAAGGGTCCAGGATACATGCAGCTGATGCCATGTCTTGTGAGGACAACAACAACTACAAAATACTCCTGTTACTACATAGGCACATGATGTGAATACACATTTTTTCAAAAATACATGCCAAAATTAGTCGGGTATGGTGACACATGCCTGTAATCCCAACTACTCAGGAGGCTGAGGCAGGAGAATCACTTGAACCAGAATGGCAGGGGTTGCAGTCAGTCGAAATCACACCACTGCACTCTAGCCTGGATGACAGAGTGAGGTTCCTCATGTATAGAAAGCCATTATAGTGGTTTTCTGAAATGTAGGTTGTAGTAACAATGTACTGGACCTGGGAGCAGGCTCCCCGCCTCCTGCAGGTCCTTGGTAGTTGAGGCCTCAGGAGCCATTTCTAATTTGGAATGCATTTGTTTCAGTGGATATTGTATTGCATTGTTCAGTTCATCTTTCACGTCAGTAGGTGGTCCTTACAGGTTTGAGCTAACTGTGGCAGAAGCACATGTGTACATGATTGACATCGGTGCACAGAGAAGCTCTCCATTGCTTCAGGCAATGAGCTGGTCCATGAAATGCACAGTGACCTGAGTTCTCTGCTCAGCCCCTCAGAGTAGGGTGAAACTGGGCAGAGATCAGCCACGAAGCCTGGCAAGCAAAAAAGCACCAGCCTTGAAGGGAATGGCCAGGTGAGGGACATATATTCTGTCTGATTTATTTTGTTATTAATAGCTTTGGTGTGGTGAATTGGTCGTGTGAGTTGCCTCATGGTCTTTTCTGGAGTTGGAATCACAGAAGTTTGAAAAGCACGTCTCATTTTCAAGTGCTCTATACTGATGGTAATGACTTTGTATTGGGTCATGCAGTTTGAACATCAGGCCAGTGGGTGGTGCTTGTAGGTAAGAGCTGCCTGTGGTGGCAGCCGAAGGGTTTATGCTTTAACAGTACTTAACATGGGAATATTCGTCATGTTCTAGATCTCAGAGAAGAAATTTGTTGTTATTTCTCATTCAATATAATACTACCTGAAAGTCTTTCGAATGTAACTTTTATTATGTCGCGATGTGTTCTTTTTATACCCAATTTTAAAGATTTCTGTTCATGAAAGGATGTTTTCATCAAATGCTTTTTAGCATCAGTTTAAACAAATTCTATGTGAATTAAACATATAAATGTAAAACCTAAAACTATAAAAATTCTGGATAAGAACCTAGGAAATATAATTTAGGACATAAGAACTGGCATGAAAATGCTAGAGCAACTGGAACAAAATCAAAACTGGACAAATGGGACCTAAGTAAACTGAAGAGCTTCTGCATAGCAAAAGATACTATTAACAGAGCAAACAGGCAACCTATGAATGGAAAAAAATATTTTGACCTATACATCTGACAGATGTCTAATACTGAGGGTCTACATGGAACTTAAACATACAAGAAAAAAAGGGGCTGAAGGACATAAAAACACTTGTAAAAAAGACCTACATGTGACCAAGCATAATCCCAGCACTTTGGGAGGCCGAGGCAGGTGGATCACGAGGTCAAGAGATCAAAACCATCCTGGTCAACATGGTGAAACCCCATCTCTACTAAAAATACAAAAATTAGCTGGGCATGGTGGCACGTGCCTGTAATCCCAGCTACTCAGGAGGCTGAGGCAGGAGAATTGCCTGAACCCAGGAGGCGGAGGTTGTGGTGAGCAGAGATCGTGCCATTGCACTCCAGCCTGGGTAAAAAAATAGGAAGAAAAAATGCTGAATATCACTATTATTACAGAAATACATACCAAAACCTCAGTGAAGTACCATCTCACACCAGTCAGAATGGCTAATCTTAAAAAACGTAATAACAAATGCTGTTAAGGCTATAGGGAAAAGGAACACTTATACACTTTTGGAGGGAATACAAATTAGTGTAACCATTGTGGAAAGCAGTGTGGTGATCTCTCAACCAAAAACAGAAGTTTAATTCAACCCAACAATCCCCAAACTGAACATATAATTAAAGAAATATAAACATGTGGGACTCCATGTTTGGGTCCCTTTCCACAAACACTCCCTTCCTGGAAGCCGTCTTTCTCTCTCCTGGATTTCCCCTCTGGAGTCCCCTTCCACACTCTCTCATGAAAGCCTGTCTTCTCCTCCTAAACTCCATCTCTCTCTATTCCCTAACACTCTCGTGGAAGCTGCTTTCCTCTCCTGGATTCCATCTTTCTTGTCACTCAGTGTTAGAGTTAACTGTTTCTTTCTCTCTCCTTCTCCTGTTTCTCTCTCTTTAAGTAAATCACTTTCTACAGAAAAAAAGAAATATAGACAGGTAGGTACATTGCAACCCTCTTCACAATAGCATAGACATGGAATTTACCTACTTACCCATCACTGGCAGAGTGGATAAAGAAAAATATGATACATATAACCACGGAATACTATGAAGCTAAGAAAAGAATGAAATTCTGTCCTTTGTAGGAACATGATGGAACTGGAGTTCATTACTCTTAGCAAACTAATGCAGGAGCAGAAACAAGATACTGTATGTTCTCACTTACTTTTAGGAGACAAATAATGAGAAATATTCTATCAGGGCCTTAGTCTTCCTTATTCTAAATCATTCTAAAGGAAGTGTTCAAGAAGTTGCTGATATGCCTTTAAATACTCTATCTGATCTGGACTAATATGTCCCTCAACAAAGCAATAAGATCTATATTTAAAAGATAATATGTATCTTAATAATGAGAATATGAAAGATATGGATGGTTTTATTAATTCAATGGGTACACACCTGTGGGAGACACTCTATTCCTATAAATAGGATATTCAGAATACACACACCTAAGTAATATTTTCTGTGTTGTGTGTGTGACTTGGCAGTGATGGATTCAAGAGTGTGGCAGGTGCACAGACCAAACGGATCAAAAATCAGTATGTAAAGATGACTGTCTACAGATATGAACTTAAAGTATGTAAATACTTCAGATAGATCTATTTAGTGAAGTTGAAATAAAACCCAAACTTATTCAAAACACAAATTACTTGGTAATTATTTTGGTAGCTCTGGGTGTGTCAATAAACTCAAATTCCTTTTCTCAGTGGGAGGGAAAACTCAGTACCAATCACATGTACCAGGGCAAATCTGTGAACCAAGAATGTTTCCATTGTAGGGCCTGAAAGCTCAGTATTCCCAGGCAGGTGATGGGAACCCAGCAGAGGTGTCCGTGGGGCCTGCTGGACACTTACATGGGATAATTAGTAGTCACTTATTCAGAGTTACCAGTGAGCTCTGACTGTTCTAATGGGACCAGGATGGAGTCAAGGTCCCTGCACAATATCACAGACAGTAGTTGTCTTAGAAACAACTAAGGTAATTCCTGTGTCAAAAAATGTGGGTTCACTGTAAGAAGCACATTCTCAGGGTGGAGCTTGTTCTTCATTAGGAAGAGTTGTGTCTGCAGAAAGCTTAGAAATGAGGCAAAGGGTGCATTTCCTCAAGCAGAACCAGGGCTTGGTCCCTTAGCAACCTGCTCGTGTATGGCTGATGCGGCATCTATGTCTTTTTCTCATCCTAGATCAGGCTTTGAGCTGTGAAATACTGCCGAGACCAGCTCAGTCAGGGAGACCCCAACCCAAGTGGCGCCAAAGGAATTAAGAGATAGACACAAATACAAAGTACAGAAGTGGGATCGACAGCATTTCCCAGCCAAAAGCCCAGAGCAGACTCTGACCCACATATTTATTCTTTGTGATTATTTTTAGTAAGCAGGTGCTCGATGTTTCCTCATAGAATAAAGACAAACTAAACAGGCAGATAGTGCCTGTTCACTACTGAAATAGAAAGAAACAGGGAAGCATTCTTTGGGAGTTTTGGTTGATAGATGTTTACTTTATGCTCTGGAGAAGATAGTGCTAAATGATTCATTTCTCAAATCGCCACAGCTTTTTTATGTTCAGTGAGCTCCTTTCATTTGGATTCTGTATCCTTACAGCATACCTCATCCCTCGATATGTATGTAGTAGTGGACACATCACACAATTTGGCAGATGTCATAATTTCTTAATGCAAAGTGCAAAAATATATACAATGTACAAAATTATTTAGCATATCATGAACCCCAGAGTAAAATGCAGACTCTATAAAAATATCTAGGCCAACCATGGTAGCTCATGCTTGTCTTTGAGAAGCTGAGGTGGGAGGAACACTTGAGACCAGGAGTTTGAGACGAGCCTGGCCAACACAGTGAAACCCCATCTCTACCAAAAATATGTCGAGGTTTGACCCACTGACCCTGACCTAATGACAGATGAATAAATTCACTCAAAGACAGATTTCCAGTGAAAGAGTGGGCTGGTGTGTCTGGGCCATTAACTTGAGGGAGTTAATGGACACGGGTCCTGACTTGCTGGCCTTTCGGGCTTTTCTTTAATATAGATCAAAAGTCAAGGGTCTATGGATAACACCATTAGAGAGTAATTAACTTTTGCAGACCCACCAAGTAGTAGGCAGGCGTGCACGGATGGGCAAAGGTTGGTCTTAGAACTACAGGCCCTTTAAAGTCTTTTGTATTCCCCTGTTAACTGCCCTGTGCTTCAAGCCTCAAGATAACAGAACTAGCCGCCTTTGACCCATTCTTTCCTGAAACTTTAACAAAAACCTCCTGCCTTCCATGAAGGCTTGCAGTTATTCTATAATGTTTATAATTTTGCCAACCACCCTGATCAATCCCCCAAAGAAATACAAAAAATTAGCTGAAGGATGAGAGGATTCCTGAGAGAAATTCTCTGAGGAGGCTGAGGCACGAGAATCATTTTAACTCAAAAGGTGGAGGTTACAGTGAGCTGAGATAATGCAACTGCACTCCAGCATGGGCTACAGAGCAAGATTCTATCTCAAGTAAAAAGAAAATATCAAATGACTTTACACTATGCGGGCAGGGATGGCATGAGATGCAGGCAACATAGAATGAAGTTACTTTCCCCATTTGCATATGTTTCCATTCACAGGAGACCTTCCTTTATCAGGTTCATGTGCAACATGGCCTCCTTCTGACAAGCAAGTAATCCAGAGAGTCCCCTCCTCTCCTTCTGACAAGCAAGTAATCCAGAGAGTCCCCTCCTCTCCTTCCTGACAAGCAAGTAATCCAGAGAGTCCCCTTTTGCCCTTGAAATTCCATCTCAGTCCAGGCACACACTGTCTCTGAATGGGCATTTACCATCAGAAAATACACACACCTGTCCCAACGTGGACTTTCCCCTCATACAAATGTACACGTCCCCATACTGACTCTCCCCTCAGACAGGCGCACCCGTCCTTATGTGAACTCTTCCCTCAGATAAGCACACATGTCCCCACATTGACTTTTCTCTTGACAGGCATCTATGTCTGACACTGAAGAGTTGTGTGGCAAAATGAGCTTGGGATAGAAGTAATTATAGACTCCAGCTCTGACAAGTTGTAAGTTTCCTTTTTTGAAAATTCTAAATGAAGATGTTGCATTATGTTCAAGGACAGTGGTTTATAGCTTTAAATACTCAGACTACAGGCAGTTGTCTGTTTCCTCTGTACAAGATTTGTTATTTGTTTACTGTATTTAGATGTTAATAAACATTGATACTATAAAGGTACCCAAACAGGGTCCACTTTAGAGTAACTCTGAATATTTAGTCCCAGGAGTCTTTGATCCTTCCCTCCCTGGAATTCAGAGACAGAGATGGGAGGAGTCCTGCTGAGCTACACACCTCCACACACCTGTCCGCAGTGAGAAAGACATGGAAAGGAGGCCCCTCCACTGCTAATGTAGAACAGCTTATCCCCTGTCCCGCAGTTCCTGGTAAAAAAAAATCCACCCCACACTTTGCCCCTCAGTGTCCATACCATGGGTCGGGGTTGATTTGGGCTTCCCTTCTCATCACTCTCAATAGTCAGTTTCCCTGTGGTTTAGGCTCAGCTGTGGCTTCCCCACACGCAGCTGTTCTCAATCTGTTCCCTCTGAGTTTGCAGAAGTCGGGTATGAAGTTCTCTGGTGAAGTCAGAGGGAGAAATGCTACAGCCCAGGCGTTGTCAGGTTTTTCTACAAAGCCTGTGGATTCACATCCATGTAAAACAGCATAAGCTTGATCCAGCAGGTCACGACAGGGATTGGTGTGGGTGATAACATGAGTGATTCAAGTGAAAGTATCCTCCTTGCATACAAAGAAGAAAACAGTCCCTCAGCACACTCTTTCCAGAAGATTTTCCCCCAAGATGACCAACCTGAGAGCCTAAGACAACAACTTGCATTACTGTGAGCATCACCATTAGAAATGACTGTGTGAGCCCAGACACAAATCTCCATGCAGGGAGGCTGGAGGGAATTGCATTGTAAATGCTGCTGAGAACCACCAGGGGGTGCCCTGGACACCGAGGGGAGGTCAGGACAGCAGGGGCTCTCACTACACCAGGGGACATTCAGCACACCAGGGGGCACTCAAGACCTCTTGGAGGCACTTAGAACCACCAGGGGGTACAGAGGATACCGTGGGAGCTGAGGACACCAGGGGACACTGAGGACATGACTGGGCACTCAGGACAGGAGGAGGGGCACGGGACAACAGAGAGCACTAAGAATCACCAGGAGGCACTCACAACAGCAGGAGCGCTCAGAATACAAGGGGTGCTTAGATCATCAGGGGTCGCTCAGGATACCAGAGGGTGCTCGGGACACAAGGGAGTGCTCAGGATACCAGGGGGAACTAGGGACACCAGGGGTATGCTCAGAACCATCAGGGGCCACTCAGGACACCAGGGGGCTCTCAGAACCACAGGGGACACTCAGGACAGCGGGGGATGCTCAGGACACCCAGACTCCCTTAGGAGGCAGCTACAAACTTCAAGGACTGATTTCATCTATTTTATCTATTTTGATAGACTCATGGTGACCTGCTCCTGCTCCTCAGACTGTTTCCCCACCTTCCTTTCTTCTGTCAAAGCATTTGATTTGCCTCAGTCTTTATGCAAGGAATCAGCAGGTGCCTTTCCTTTATCTCTTCTGTGTCTGCAGAATCAGCTCACTTCTGATGGTCACTGCAATCAATCATGTTTACAAAGGTAACAGTTCTTTTTAGAATATACGTCTCTCTTCCTTCCTCACCATTTTCCAGGGACCTGCAGACATCATTGCACCCTATCCTCCTTTGTTTTCATCTGTTTCTGTTGACCTCAAAGTGCCCATAGAACAGTTTTGGTGGATTTGCCTCGTGGAAGAAGCTGGAGTTGGTCTCATGAATTAGTAGTGATGGATCTAGCACATACTTCCCAGATGTCGTGAAGTGCTGATTCACCATCTCCAGAGACAATTTCAAGAACTCCCTTTATCTGCAAATAACAGCGTGAGAGCTGAGGATACTGACATGCATTTGTGTGCGAGAGACAAAGTGAGGGGAGGTCAGTGTGAGCCCAGACACAAACCTCCCTGCAAGAACACACGTAGGAAATCAGCTGCAGAGGGCACTCAGAACCCACTGATCAGAGTCAATCAGAGACAGGTACAGATGAAGGGTAAGGCTGTGTTTACTTTCAGTGTTTGGAACCTCCTCTTCATCTGACAGTTTCCCCAGAAAATCTTCCTATTCCGTGACTACCAATGTCATTTTCAATTGTTGTAATCATTGTAATCGATAGGGTTTGTCTCTGTGTCCCCAACCAAATCTCATCTTGACTTGTACTCCCATAATTTCCATGTGTGGTGGGAGGGACCCTATGGGACATGATTGAATTATGGGGCAGGTCTTTCCCATGCTCTTCCTGTGATAGTGAATAATCTAATTAGATCCCTTTTTATATATAAGAAACAGTTTCTCTGCAAACGCTCTCTTGTCCTGTCTGCCTTCATGGGAGACATGGCTTTAACCTTCCACCATGATTGTGAGGCCTCCCCAGCCAAGTGGAAATGTAAGTCAATTAAATCTCTTTCTTTTGTAAATTCCTTTCTCTCAAGGGATGTCTTCACCTGCAACATTAACACAGACTCCAGCCTGGGTTACAGAGTGAGATTCCATCTCAAAAAAATGTGAAAAACATATAGAATATATTGCTAAGTAATTTTTGTGGCACAGTCACATAATAAATTCTTTTATTGCCACTGAACTTCTCCAGGAGTCTCCCACCTGCTCTGGGCCCTGCCCTATCCAAGGCATCCCACTTTCCAGCTTGCTATGTAGTAGGAGGCCATCAAATAGAGCTCTCCCTCTCCTGATGAAAACCAACCCAGTTCTGGTCCTGCATCTCTGGGAGAGGAGCACCAGCCCTGGGATTTCCAGGTGTTTCTACTTGGCAATGAGGACTGAACACAGGGGATTCAGTATGGGCTTTGAACTGAGCTGGATTTTTCTTGCTATTTTAAAATATTATTCATAGAGAATTAGAGATAGTGAGTGTAAGCGGAACAGTGAAAGCCTTCGGCAGTTTCTAACCAGGATGTCTGTGTATATGAGGTTCAGCTGGTGGAGTCTGGAGACGGCATAAAACAGCCTGGACGGTTCCTGAGAATCTTTGTGCAGCCTCTGGATTCAACGTTAGTAGCTACTGAATTAGCTGGGTCCGCCAAGCTTCAGTGAGTAGTGAACATAAAGTAAGATGGAAGTCAGATATACCATGCAAACTGTGAAGGACGGATTCTCCATTTCCCAAGACAATTCCAAAAACTCGCTATGTCTGTGAATGAACAGAGTGGGGAACGTATCTCCCGTCTCTTTCTTATTTAACCAGAGCCTTAATCAGAAGCTTAGGTCAGCAAATCTGGAAGGTGATAACACAAAAAGAGAACACGTGAACTTGTGTATTACTTTACATAAGGTACCAAGTGAGGGAACATCAGCATCAGCCAAAACACAAAATTTTGTTCAGAAAGGAGACTCGGCTGCAGGGGACATGTGCACCCGCAGAATTTAGAAGCATCCGCAGGACAGGTGTAGTTGAAGGTCAAGGGTCTGTGGCTTCCTTCAGGGTCTGGCTTCCTCTGCATCAGAGACACTGGAAGATTCACGCCCAGACTTAGGGTCACAATGCCTACATGGAAATACCTATGACATCATCAGAAACTCTTGGAAATACAGACCTATGACATCATCAGACACTCCCCTTTTATTCTATAGCCTACATGGAAATACCTATGACATCATCACACAAATTGGAAGTTCTAATAAATTCAATGCCTTTACATCAGATAGAGGACTATGTTCTAAAGGAAAGTTTATGTTAGTAACAGAAATTTTAGTCATTAACCTAGAGTTTTATTATTGAGGTGTGATTATGTTCCAAATAACATCATTGTCAGCAAACTCCTGCAGGGCACTCATCTTCTCTGGGCACAGCCTCCCCCTCAAGCGTCCCACCCTAGAGCTTGCTATATAGTAGGACACATGCAAATAGGTCCCCCCAGTACTGATGAAAACCAGCGCAGCCCTGACCCTGCAGCTCTGAGAGAGGAGCCTTAGCCCTGGGGTTCCAAGGCATTTCCACCTGCTGATCAGCACTGAACACAGAGGACTCAGCATGGAGTGGGGCTGAGCTGGGTTTTCCTTGTTGCGATTCATGGAAAACTAGGGAGACTGAGTGTGTGTGGACATGAGTGAGAAAAACAGTGGATGTGGGTGGCAGTTTCTGACCAGGATGTCTCTGTGTTTGCAGGTGTCCAGTGTGAGGTGCAGGGTTTGGTTCAGCCGGGGGTCCCTGAGACTCTCCTGTGCGGCCTCTGGATTCACCTTCAGTAACTACTACTACATGAGCTGGGTCCGCCAGGCTCCAGGCAAGGGACTGGAGTGGGTCTCATACATTAGTTATGATGGTGGTAGCACAAACTACGCAGACTCCGTGAAGGGCCGATTCACCATCTCCAGAGACAACGCCAAGAACTCGCTGTATCTACAGATGAACAGCCTGAGAGCCGAGGACACGGCCGTGTATTACTGTGCGAGAGACACAGTGAGGGGAAGTCAGCGTGAGCCCGGACACAAACCTCCTGCAGGGGTCCCGCCCCACCAGGGGGCGCCGGGGCGCTGTGCACGGGGCTGTCTCGGGCAGGTGCAGGTGCGGCTGAGGGCTGGCTTCCTGTCAGGATCTGGGGCTGCCTCATAGTCACATTTGCCCCAGGGAACCTCCAGGATTACAATTCTGTACTAACCTTTAATGCCTCTAAATGCAAAACTTTTGTTCTCCTTTTCGTTTCTTTTTTGTAACAGCAAATCTCACATCACCAGTTTCAAATTCCCACAGTGTCACTTTGGGGGCAATAAAATAATCCTTTCTGGTCAACAGAATGAGAGTCCTGAAGAATCCCTGGGAAACCTGGGGAGGGTTTTCCAGCTGGACTCAGGGCAGAGACCTCCATTTGATTACAAAAGGCTTTGAGTTCCGATGGGAGCCAAGGGACAGGCTCACCCAGGGTCGGGGTCCTTAAAACCTGATGGTATCACAGCTGTCTCCCCTCGTCTTGTAAAAACTGTGCACATCTGACTCAGGACTGATTCAGTTAACCCTCTTTCTATTAATCCGTTTCCTTCTCTGTAGACTTGATCCTCACAGTTCCCTTTCTTCTTCTCTTCCCTGAAAACGGAGGATGTGTTTTCTGTAGTCGAAATCCCAGGGCTCAGGTCTGCAGGACGGGGGTAGGCTGAGGGACTTTCTCACTCCCCATTGCCTGGATGCTCTGGTGTCTTCTGTGCATGGAGGTATTTGGGAAATGAACTGGACATTAGCGATGAAGGGAATAATATTCATATTAATATTCATAGTAATACATAGTATAACAGGGTTAACTGAATCAGTCTGAGTCAGATGTGCAGCTTTTTACAACACAAGGGGTACAGCTCTAACTCCATCATGTTTTAAGGATCTGACCTGGGTGAGCTGTCTCTTGGCTCCCACCAGAACTCAAAGCCTGTTCTAATCAGAGATTCCCATGGAGGTCTCTGCCTGCCCCGAGTCCATTAGTATTGAGAAAATAGGGGCCTGCAGAGGAAATAGGGCTGATTTATTACAGTACCTGGTGCAGGTGCCACTCACAGCATGGTGTTTAA